AAAAAATTCCAAAAAGGAACTAGAGATGCTGTTACTGGTGGAGCTCAGATTAGCTACACCACCTAGTCAGCACTATGGATGAATGATAATATAACCGAGGGTGGAAAAATGATCAAGAACCAATGTCTGATTCTAAATTTAACACAATTTCTATTATTGTTTGCCACCTGGATTGTGCTGTGAGTGCCATACTAAGTCCAATTCAGTTGTATTTTTCACAGCTTCAAATCACAACAACAACAGTAAAGTAATTTTGCAAATTAAAATCCTAAAATACAGAGAAAACTAAACGATCAGATGACCCCTTTAAAACATTCCTACAATTTTAACTAGTTGGTGTGTGTTACCTGACTGCATTGATAGACAAAGCTGGGTGGATAGATGGATGCTACGTCCTCTAATGATACTGCCTGGGGACAGTATGGAACAATTAACCTCTGTGTGTGAAGAGGACCTCCCATTTCCATGAACACATTGAGTCTATTAGATATGATTCAAACCACTGCAGCCTCTACAGCGTGCTCTAATCGCTGTGATGAAATATTATGGTCAACAGCATCGAACACACACTCTGGTCTAGCAGGACAAACACAGAGATGAGTCCACAGTCAGAGACCACAAGCAGAAAGACATTTCAAGCCAATAATCCAGATGGATAAAAAAATCAATAAAGACTGATTTAAAAGTGGATTTATGATCATGATGTTATCAAGCAGGTAGTAACAGTTCACAGTTTGACAAATATCACCGATGGGCTGTATCCTGTATCACTCAACAACAGAGTCAATTACACGTAATGCTCTAAAATTTAAAATGTGCAAGTCTGTGATTCACTGAAATCAATAAGATGTGAAAATAATATAAACAACAATCACGACTTTATATGGTAAAGTGCAACTGACGAAGCTCTATGCTACTATGTATTTATAACAGAACTGCTCAGTATTAGTGTATCAGGTCTCTGCTGTTTGACAGCAGAATAGTTTAAGATCATTTTTAGCATAGATTTGTGCTCACACAAGTTTTTTCACTATAACAATAAATACACTTTATCTCATAAAATATTTTTGTCCTTAACAACACTATAACACTTTTCCTCCTAATATTAAGCACGCTGACTTGTCAGATCACACGTTCACTCTCATTGTGCATCTGTTTCACAGATTAATGAAACTTTATTCTCTGAACATTCTGACTCTGTTCTTTCAGTTTTCTTGCAGTGACACCACCACTAACTAATATACAGTAATTTACTAATAATATCTCAAACTTTGGTATGACTGCCCACGCTGATTAGAAACTGCATACCATAGAGGATTAGTTCTGACATTAAGCTCGATCCCTTTGATCCTGTAGATCTGTTTGCTTCTGCACTGATGTCAGGTCCTTCTCAGAGGTGTTGGAGGTGTTTTAGCAAGAGTCTGCAGACTTTCCCATCCTAACCAAACTACAGCGGCGTGTGTCTCCATGACACAGAAGAGAGGAGGAAGTGAAGTCAGCAGCTGTCCTCCTTGCTTATGCCACATTACATGTATCAGCGTCTCACGCTGCAGGTTTCATCACCTCATCCTGCTCCTCTGTGGCACAAGCTGTTTGACTGGGACTAGGAGTCTTCTGTAGAGAAAGCTCGATGTGTGTTGGGGAATCTCTGGCCGGTGAAGTCTGGATCGTCTCTCACTCGTTGTGTGATGTCACACTTTACCTGGCAGGAGGATACAGACAGAAACAGCTCACACACAAAACTAACTCAGAACAGTGAAGTACGAGATCTGTATTGCAGGGCTGCCACGGAGTTCGT